AAAGTGGCTACTAACCGGCTACTAGGCGGTCACTAGCCGGCGATTAGCTGAGCTCTAAAGCAGACCTACCGGCTACTAACCTACTAAGCAGACCTACTAAGTAGGTATGCTTTAGAGCCAAGCTAATAGCCGGCTAGTGACCGGTTAGTAGCCACTTGGTGGCTACTAACCGGTTAGTAGCCGCAGGGAGTGTGCATAGACCGTGCAGGGAGTGTGTAGGGACTGACCGCGACCGTGCAGGGACCGTGCAGGGAGTGTTCTCTTGTTGTTGTATGGACCGTGCAGGGACCGTGCATAGACTGTCCGGAGCTAAACGACCAACTTGCCATTTATTTCTTCATAACTCGTCACTGACAGTCCGGACAGGATGAGCATTGACGAGATCCACTGATTACTTCATAGCTCGTCATTGATAGGATCAGTATTAAATGAGGTCGAATGATTACTTCATAGCTCGTCACTAACTGGATCAGCATAACATGACTAACAACTAACGAGGTCCAGTGATCTTTTGCTGATACGTCAAGACAAGATCAGTAAATAGCTATAAATATCGAAAAAAATTAGCTTAGAAATTACAGAGTACAAATGCCTTCTTTACAACTAACTCTTTGGCCTCATCTTTTTAAATCACTCATTCCCTCTGAAATAAGATAATGCTTAGGACTAGGAGGAACTTAGTTAACTTTTTGTATGATTCAGTAAGAGGAAAATTCCTTAGTAAGCTAACATTCTTTTGTAGGATGTTACCACTTATCATATCTGTTATCCAGCATAATCCCACAACTAGACTCTCTTATTCTTGAGTCTTGACAATGACAGCAGCAATGTACACTATTTTGATGCTCGGTCCAGGTCTCCAAGAAAACCTTCCTTTTTATATTCTCATATTGTGTGTTAGTTTGGTGTGAAGTATTATTTTCTTTTTTTAAACTAACTGTGTTAAACTAAATTGATATCAGTTAAAGATGATATATTTTAAGAGGTAAAATTCTTATAATTGACGATTAAGAGATATGGGAGTGTGTTCAGGACTCTGAAAGTGGCATACTCTCATAGCAATGGTATGAAATGGTTAACTTTAGTCAAGGTCTCATGTCTCTACGACCTTCGCTTTTGGCGCTGTGAATCTTGCGCTTCAAGCGCAATGCGCAAATTCCTGCAGGAACTTCCCGACATTGTAGAGACCTGAGACCTCGAATAAAGTTAACCATTTCCTACTGTTTATATTAGAGGAGCACACATTTAGAACTCCTCCCATACTCCTTCGTGACTAAATTGACGATTTAGAGAATGTTACCTGTTAAAAATTTGTGCCGAGATTTACCTCATTTTACCTCATGAGGCCAGCCAAAAAAGGCAAAATTGGTATGAGGTAAAATGAGGTAAAATGAGGTTGACCCCCCCCCCCTATCTACCTTAAAGAGGAAAATAGAATAGAACTAGAGAATAGTTAGGTTATTTGCTATTTATCAAAGAAATGAACGTACTTTAGCAATGTAACAAACATGGCCGAAGGGGTGATACTGTTACAATAACACAATTTGTTCTAATTGAAAACCTTCGGCGCGGTAATGAACGCTCAATATTGATCGCCATCGTTGATGAAATTGGGGAAAAATGTTAGAAATTACAAAACAAATTAGCAATTTCAACAAACATTCATAGACTTGATCATTGATCAGTGATGAAGTAAAGTGTCGCCTGCACTAAGTATAAGTAGTATATTAGTAAATACCGCGTAATGTTGGTACAGATTTGGTACAAACCACATTGTTATAATAAAAAACCACAAGAATAACGGTATTTCATGCAAACTACTGCGTATCCTGCGTCACGAGGCTTGTACGAGGTTTGACATCCCCCCAGACCCACTACAATCGTAATTCAAGGTCATTAAACTAGTAGTTATAATAGCCATAACCTTTATATGGCTCGAGAGCAGTTCAAAGTAAGGGTTTGTAATTGTATCAATGATATTAATAAATTAAACCAACTGACCATTAAGTAATTCAGGGGGCTATTTATAAATATTGACAATATAAATAAAGATGGAAATTGTCCGCGCTTAACTTCTAAAGTTCTATAATTCTAAAATTTCACAAAATGATAACAATTAGAAAATAATTTATGTAGAAAATTTATGTCAAAATGAAGATAATTATTATAAACGAAAATTAACTTTTAAAAGTCTCAAAACAACGGTTGATAATTCCTCATCAGTAACCCAGGATCCTTAGGTCATTAGGCGTCGGTCATCTAGTCTAGGGAGTAGCTAAGGATCCATTTAATTGGATCTCTGCGATCTCCTCGGTCGACTCAACCGAATGATAGGAAACTTGATTGAGGGTAAAATCTTTAAATGAGGGGGTACCTGTTAAAAGTTCAAAAACTTCGTAGGATACAATACCCCTTCAGTACATACTGTAAACACTAAACATAGCACCTTATTAACTATTATTAATAACCGGAATAATCAAACTACGCTCATTACCAATTTTACTGAAGGGTACCTTGAAAAGCAGGAATTAATTCGTTCACTACAAAAACAGAGTCAAAGAGAACTATAAAACTTCAAATCACTGTTCACAGGGCTAATATAAACTATATTATAAGTTCTTCTATAAGTCTAAAGACTAATTAAGTTCTATAGATATAATAGTATCAGTAACAGTTCGGTTTTACTAACCTCTAAGACTAAAGGACTAAGTTCCTCTTTGAACAAAAAAATTCCTCTTTCATCTATTTTTTCTTTGGTTTAGTTTTAGTAGGTTCTCTAAACAGTAGTATCATTTAGAAGGGTGCCAGGGGACATGTTCAAACCTGATTGGTGGTTTTGTTACACTGCCAAAATGGGCGATTTTCTCATTTTTACAATAACTCCATTAATAATTACTCGATGGTCTTGAAACTTTCAGAGATGATTATAATTGTGATAACAAATAGTCTCAGGTCATCGGCTATGAATAATATTGTAAAATGGCCCAGTCATATTGAAAAATGTAACATTTGGTTACACTTTTCAATGGCTCAGCCAATTATTAAATTCTAAAGATTCTTGCTTCACAAAAATGTGCTTTAGGTATTTGCTTAGCTGCGGAATGAAAAAAGGCCCACTTGTGAGTTCATAAAAAGGCCCAAAATGGACATTTTGTAACATCTTGTTTTCATGATATCTTTATAGTTTGTTACAACCTCAGCTAGTGTAGGATATGTATTTAACTCTAAAACCAGGTTATTAGTGCAGCAATTCTTGTATAAAGGCATTACAACAATCTTGGTATATGGCTCATAATCAATAAAAGGCCCATTTCTTTGAATAACGTAACATGGTTACAAATGAGTAAGTTATACAGAGTTGTTTGATCTAGTATTGGTTTTTAGTTGGTTGATGCATTAAAATAAAGACATGAAACAACTTAACAAATTTAAAAAATGATAATTGGGACCAAATTATTGAATTTTGTAACAATTTAAATGTAATGTAATTTAAATTTACGACAGAACGCGGTAAATTTAATCAAATGAATATAGCTAATTAGATTAAAGGTTGGATATTTAAAAACGTTTAATTTATATATCAAATTGTATAGAAAATAGAAATTGGGCCCTATATATTGAAATTTGTAACAATAAAATGTCAGGTCACGAGTTTATCCACTGAAGTGGCAGAGTGACAATTGACTCGTAATTTATACAAAATTTTACAATTTTGGTGTACAAAATGCTTGACCGGAACATTAAAACGTTACAAAATTCAATGTTTTGGGCCTAAGTACAAAATATGGTCAATAATATGGTTGATGGAACCCTTTATGACCTAGGCAAACTGGTCTGAACTTCAAAAACTATAATATAGCTTGCCTAACACCCCTCACACTAGGATACATACTATATACTATACTCTATAAATTTACTTTCTAATGTTACATTATTCAAGTTCCGCAGCCATTTTATCAAATTATACGAATAAGGATTGCTTTACAATTCTGTATGAGAATCTAAAAACCATGTTACCAGTACAAGAATATATTGAACATTCCAAATATGAGCTTTGTAGTAAAAACATAAATATGTTACAAAATTCAATGTTTTGGGCCCAAGTACAAAATTTGGTCAAGAATATGGTTGATGGAACCCTTTGTGACCTGGAAAAACTGGTATGAACTTCAAAAACTATAATTAAGCTTACCTAACACCCCTCACACTAGGGTACATACTCTATACACTTAATTTCTAATGTTACATAATTCAAGTTCCGCAGCCATTTTATCAAATTATATGAATAAGGATTGCTTCAGAATTTTGTATGAGAATCTAAAAACCATGTTACCAATACAAAAATATATTGAATATTCCAGATATGACCTTGGCAGTGAAAACATAAATATGTTACAGAATTCAATGTTTTGGGCCCAAGTACAAAATTTGGTCAAGAATATGGTTGATGGAACCCTTTGTGACCTAGAAAAACTGGTATGAACTTGAAAAACTATCAAGAAGCTTCTCTAAAAACTCATTGAAAAAGTGTAACATAGAAATGTGTTACAAAATTCAATATCCAGGGCCCCCAACTAAACTGCTATATCTCAGGACCTGAATATGTTACAAAAATTCTGATTCAAGGGTGCCCTCAGTCAAAGGGTCTAGTTTTTGTCAGTAGTTTCAGTTTTTCTTAAAATGTTACAGATTTCAATCTGGGGGCCCAGAAGTAAAGAGTGGGAGAAATGTAACAAAACCACCAACCAGGTTTGAACACGTCCCAGGAGACTGGAGACATGCGAATGATAAGGCTCTTATCTTTATCTATATATTTATTTTAGTATGGATTAATGGTATAATATAACAGACTAGTGGATAACAAATACTGTTAGGTTTATTATTTCAAATGACAGACTCGGCACAGAAAACCAGAAGACGCGGCCGGTATAAAAGAAATGTTGTTGTTACTATCTACTAAAAGAATTATTAATAAATTCCAAGTTGAGCACCTATTTCAGGAGACAGAAGACACTAAAAGTATCAGCAGCTATGTGTGGCAGACCCATCCTATCAACGTTACAACCAGAGTTTGAGCTGAGCAAGGACAGCAACCCTCTCTTAAACGAGCCGGCTAAAGCTCGTCCCGAGGAAAATGACAGGTTAGAACTTAGAGCAAGGCTACAGCTTACTGTAAAGTGAAATAGTCCAGTAAAAACTGACAAATTTTAAACTGGCGATCGTAGAAATTACAAATGATTTAAGGGACAAATCGAAAACTGCTGAAATATGGAATGATGGTGACAGTGAAGTGCTCAGAACTGATAAATAGTGAACTGCGATTGTAAAAATAACTGCTAACTTTACAGACAAATTGAAAGCTTCTGAATCCTATTGAGTAAGGTTCATAATTGCAATTTGATTTGTCTTGATTTTTCCTAAAAGATTCCACTAATGAACGGCCCTTAGAGTTAAACTTCATCATGTCATCTTACATTCGATATTTTTATTTTTATCCTACCACTTGCTCTATTCTACAAACGTTTGTTGTTAAAGCGCACACAGAATGCAAACAAAACAACCACGTCAAATTTACAGATTTCAAATCCTTTGATCTTTTAACATTAGAAATTAAAAATTCAATTTTAATTATTATATGAGAATAAAGCGTTGCAATATAAGTTGCATATAAATTATACTGTGTAGCCACTTGCCGGATGAAAACTAAATAAACTGGAAAAATAAACTTGATTATGAAATAATAATTCCAATATGATTATATAATTATGATAATCCCAATATTTAATTTGACCGAACCAACACATAGCAGGAGCCACATTAACGATAATAATGATCCAAGAAGACAATTTCATCTAACGCACTAAATTAAAGTCTGGCTCAAGAATGGTAACCACCCAGCACTTGTCGGCTAAAATAAGCTCCCCAACTGCTCTTTAGTCATTAAACTAGATTAATTTGATTAAGAGTCTCGCTTATACTTTAAATAAAACTGATAAAGTTAGTGGCCCTAATGTTAGGGAGCTAGTGGTTGGTAGCACTATTGTGCTCAGACATCACTCTGTAGTGCAAAAGACAGAGAGAGAAAAAAGGGGAAAAATCATCAAAGTTGTGGAGCATTGTACTCAAATGAGGTTCAATTTAATATGGGAGAACTAAAGAAATTATTTTCAGTTCGATATTTGACGCGTTCGATTACCACGAGGACAAAGGAGGAGAAAACGTCCGCAAACGGTCTTATCCAGCAGGTATGTGTCAATAATTGATAACTTATTTTACGTATTTGTGAAAGATGAGTGCTCAAACTATCCGGAAATGTCAGGTATTTGTTAAAATTCTGGTTCATGATCTGTGGTTGGTATGTTAGGATGGTTTGAATGGGAGCAGTAACAATTTTACAGCTTTGAAACAGCTATAAAATAATCTGGTACAAATACTGCAGATGCACAAAAAACGTACCTTAAAAAGTGTCTTGGTGCGCATCATTTAGTGCATCACCGGCAATCTAATGCACAAATATGCACCATGTCACTACTTCTCGCGACTCTTATAGTTATATGTTAATATTGCCGCTCTTCTCCCAAACGGACGGGCTGCTCTTCTTTGTCATTGATAATCGATCAATTCAATTCCTCGCTCCCGATTGGTTGAAACCCCCAGACCGCCATTCCTACGTTATTAATCGTTTCTCCTCCCCGATAGAAATAACACTTATCACTAGCTGAAAACCGTACCCACAACAATCTTGTAAATTATAACTCGTTACTATGGGCTAGACTATAGGCATAATAATAATAATATAGGGTTATAAAATAGTATTGGTAACTGAGTCACGGCAATTAAGTTTATTGGCGGCGAAAACTCTCTGAATCACGAGCTTATTAGTTATTGCTCCTTCAAATAAGTTATGATGATAACTTACATAATAATGAAATTATTAATGATAATTTCTAGCTGCTCGCTTTAGAATATGACAAAATACAATATGATTACCTCTTCATTGCCTGAGCAGCTCATCATTTCACGTGCTTCTCAAAAATAAATAGATAATTTATATAACTAAAGTTATATAACTAAAGTTAACGAGTTAACTGTTGTTCCGCTTAAACAATTGCTCCGGGCATAATTATGAATTATATGATCATTTACCCTGTAATAAAATAATAATACAAGTCAAAGACTCATCACCCAAAAGTTAAGACTAATCTACCAACCTGTCTCTACAATATAATATGATAAAAATGAAAGATGTTTATTTAGCGTTATCATAGTATCAGTCAACAGTAGTCAGTGAAAAGCTGATGAATGGAAATTAATGCTTTAGCCGTAAACTCACTTTGATTACCGGCCACTTTCCAAGAAGCAGCAATGATAGCACTTGTCTGGAAAGGTGAACAAAGGTAGCTCAAAAATTGGGATACAGTCCGTCTGCACATGTTATTAGCACCCAAGAGCACTCAGTAGCACCCAAGAGTATTCGGTTGGTGCAGAAAACAATGCCTACTGTTCCGTGTCAGCGACAAAAATAGGCCGCCAGTTCTAGAATAGATTATTCATGGAAGATTCTGGAAACCCTGTTAGAAAGTTAGAAAATACTCAAGATCTGCAACAATTTTTACCCGCCTCAAAACAATAACTACTCAGAAAGTGCACGAGAATATTCTGAGATGAGAAAAGAGTTTTCCCATATTTAAGTGTTATCTCAGCAGTAATAGGTAATTAGGATGAGGTCTAAACTTCAAAACACTTTGCAACAATATATAATATACTATTATATATATTATATATAATATATATAATATATATAATATACTATTATATATACTATAATAGTTATATGCTTCATTTATTGTCAAGTCTTGTCGGAAACTATTTGACATACAAGTCACAATATTTGGTTATAATATTGGAACGTAAGGTAATTGTACGTTAACGGTTAATAAGCTCTCCCAAAAGTTACAAAACGTCCCGGTGGCTAAAGTTGCTCCTTTTTCATACCTCTTAGTTTCATAGATAATTTCATAATTGGATCCTGTTTGTATGAAACAGGACAGAATGGTAACTGTGTTGGTGCTGTTCAGAGCAGCTTTGAAGTTCCCGAAAGTTCTGTTTTGTAACAATTAGGGTGACCACGTGTTCATGTTTACTGTCATTTACAGTTAACTTAATACCGTAATTTGCTTACTTAACAACCAAACCTACAATTGTAATGATAAACAATCAATTATGAGGGCATATTGATTGTGTTTAAAGTTCACTGAAAGTGACCTACCGTAAAAACGTAGGACCGAGTTTGGAGCAACCATGAAAGGATATAATCAAATCTTATAATTGATGCCGTTAGAAAGGCACTTTTCATATAAATATAAGATTATGGTTATGAGTTGTAATAGGTTATGATACCTGTTATGTTATACTTGCACGAAATAACGTATGCATTTGTGCTACAGGTGCAGGAAGACAACAAGTTAGCAAGAAAGCTACTCTGGGAAATGTCATGACAAACATGATGAGACACAAACGATTAGAAAACTTGGGAGCTAGACCTCAGGTTGGTTTTTAGAGTAGGTATATTATATACGGAATCTGAGATGTACCTCCACTGTCAGAAATTATAAAATGAATTTGTGAAGAAACTGTCATATTGTTGCATTTGGTCTGACAACAGTAATCAATAAGTACACTGACCGCAGATGATAAAGAACATTATGTCTTGTATTAAAATAGTAATATTTGACAAGTTAATTGCAGATGATAAAGAACAACATGTACGCGCAAGGTGTAGAGGGAGCTCCATTCCAGGGCCCCAGTATCCGCCACCCCAACAGAGGCTCCACTGTTCAGGACATCACCCAGAATGTCATGGCTCAGAGCAGATCCATCAACGAGAGCATGGCCTCCCTGAACATGCCCGCTAGAAATAAGAACATGCCCATGACCACACCTCAACCTACCCCCCTGGGACAACCTCCTGCTCAGGTGGGTTTCACTGTAACGTGTTAGAAGAGAACCCCACCCCCACTGGTTTCTAGAACTATACTTCTACAAAATAGTACTGTTATAATACACCTACCCTTCTAAGGTACTACTCCTTACTAGGACATCAGTAACGACAGTCAAAATGGAGAAAAAAGTAGTTTTGCGCCCAGTTGTTTTATTGGGGCGCGAACTGTATTCTTACAGAAGTATCCGCGCGAAATTAGCCGATTTTTACAAATAAATGTATATTTGGCCGATTTGCCGCCACGCGATACTCTATAATCATCGCATCTTGAAGGGTGAACAATTATGCATGGTATCGGCTCATTCGAAATGGCCACTACTCAATAGCGGTATTTTTGAACCGAATGTTTTCCAGTTCCATCAATTTTTGTGTCGAAACTGTGTACATGTACTCTGAGTGATTATGATGTATAATAATATGTAGTAAGGGGAGGAGAAGTTTACTGGCGAAGTGGTGATGCTCAATGTATATCACTGTGCCAGTGAGACTATAACATCTTGGCCAAAATATCAGGGCAACAAGTAACAACTAATAAGTATAATCTTCGTACTGTCAGCGTTATAGTCATCAGGCTTGTTGTACACTGTGTAACGTTGCCTGTTGGCGCCCCCCCCCCCCCCCCCGCAGAAAATGCGCCCCCTCCCTGATTGTGCCCATCCCTAAAATTGAACAAATTAGGTGATTTTACGCCACTGTACACTATGACCTGGGGGTTTTTCTGCACAGGTTTTCTACATTGTTAGTGCCCACAGGAAGTATTTTCCGTTAAGAAATTTACTGCGGATTTGAGTTCGGTCAATTTTATTTGGTTTATTGTGCATTTTACAAAGAACTATTTGAGGACAGGGTTTAAAATATTCTAAGATTAATACATAGATTATATAAACTGCGGATGCAATTTTTTGAAGATGGATTTTAATTTTGTAGAGATTTTTCTCGAATGTGTCATTTAAATTAACGTGATTCTGACTGAATTTCAGGGCGTAGACATTCCCAGATCCCCCAACATCTCCTCTCCAAGTGCAGTGTTCAACAACCCGTGAGTAAGGGTTTAACTGATTATTCTAGATACTTTCTGAGTTGACTCAATTCGTCTTTAAGGGCAACTGATTAATTGTTTTTCAAGTCTGAACAGTTATCAAACAGCATAATTCACAGCACGAATTCAACAAGCATAAATGGAGAAAGAAATATATATTATATATATCAAAACTTAGAGTCCTATTCTAAGACTTATAGTTGCGAAAGTTTAAATTGTAACTTTATATACGGTTTTTACTATGAAGGCGGCCAAAAAGGCGACCTAAAGGATGCGTGAGCCTTTAGGCTATTGTCCAACTTTAAATATTACACATATTTTATACTTTTATACTTCAGGCCTTTGATGATAAGCACTGTTATTCAAACAATTATGACTAAAAATAGGACTAAATGTAGTAGAGCATAACCTCACCACTTTTACTGTTACAACTTTGCGAAAAGAAGTGTCCAAATTGTGGACGGCTAGAGGTCAGCCTACAATCACATCCACTCTATGATAAGTAGACCTTTCTCCAGTCTTCTCACAACCACTTTCTAATTTTCAACTCTGCAGGTTAGGTGGGGTTGGACCGAGGATGGGACCTCCTCCCAACCAGACTATGTTGTCGAATAACATGATGATGAGAGGAGTCATGAATCCTGAGCAGAGACCGATCCCCGGTCAGCCTGGCCACTACCCCATGCAATCTATGGGTAAGCTACTAATGGTTGCTGAATATGACTGTATTTAGGACTAACAATCATTGTTGTAGCACTGCTCAGCAAGTGAACATGTGATTAGTAACCTGCAGGCTGCAACTTATCTACACACTATCGCTCAGGAGATCCTATAGCAATGCAGCAGCAACAGCAGCTGTATCAGAGGATGGCGGGCGGCATGTACAACGGCCCTCACGGCCTGACCCTGGTGCAGGGCAGTAACATGGGGCCCAGGATGGTCTATAACCCGGTCAGTGGACAGACCATCATGACAACCCAACACTCCGGAGGGATGATGAGTGCTGCTCAGGCCGGGGCCGGGAACAACGTCCTACCCTCACGATCGGGTGGGTGACAGGTTATCTTCTCACTTTCACTTCTGTGCCATTCCTGGAGAATTACTTTTTAATGTTTGAAAATGGTATTGGTGACAGTGTAACATTTGTTCGTTTCAGGAATGATAGGTCCTGGCAGCAGTATGATCCCTGGGATGGGGCCAGCTCCTCCAAACATGTCTGCTGCTAACATGGTTCAGAATCAGAGCGCTATGAGCATGCCTCAGAAAATTATGGCAGATCAAATCATGGTTAGTCAAGCCATGCACGCTGGCGTCATGCTGAATAACCAATCAGTGGTACCCAATCAGACTATCGGATCTGGAAACTTCCCTCCCCACCTACCCCCAAGTTCCATGGCCCACTCCGCCCTTTCCAGGGAGATGCAACTGAACCAGATGTCTAGAGACCTGCCACCAGGAGCCCTATCTCGCGGCCCAGGTACACCTAACATGATGTCTCCGGACAACAAGAACAAGCAGATGCTGAACAAGAACCCGACTGGCGGTGCTGGGGTTGGGGCGGCGGTGATGATGTCGGGTAACATGCCCCCTCCTATGTCCCCTGCCACAACCATGGTATCCCCTCCATCAGCCGGTACCCCTCAGATGGGAGGCAGCAGGACGCCCCAACAGAGAACCCCTCCTGCCAGTGACTCCCCTGGGACCACAGAGAATAGTCGGGACAACATCACTCTGAACACTGCTGTAGCTGAGCCTCTCCCAGGGGACGACGCTATGAACCCTACTTAGGGTGCTACAGGTAACTGAGTTGTATCCCTTATTTTCCCTGGTAAATATTTTGTTCTGACCTTTCGGAACTGTGATGTAAACTGTTAAACTGTTGAATTGTCGAACTGTGAAGATGTGGAAATGTTGAACTGTAGCTTCCCCATTAAAGGCTGGATTTTTGTCTGAATTTTTAATGATGGCTTGGAAAGTGATTTCCCTAATCCATAAAATGTTTTTGAGCTGTTATGAAAATCTGACTTTCGTATTAGAATATTGAAGGATCGATTATCTGTTCAGCTTAATTTTCATAATCTTAAAAATAATTGATTGTGCTGCATATCGTTATTTTTCTGCTAGATGCTGATTTATTTATTGTTACTTGGGTTGTTTTGCTCCAAATTTGAGGTACTTTGTATGCCAGTTTGCTTCTTTAAGGTACAGGGTTGTCCACAAATTGTATTTATTTGGCCGTATTGAATTGTCTTTAATAATTCATTCAGTTATTGATATCATTATTTGATTCATTATTTAAGATTTGACATCATTCATTATATTATCAACTATCTTAAAGTTGAATCTACTGTATGGCAATGTTATTTCTTCGAAGCAAAATTAACTCATTCTACCTTAAAATAAAGTGTTATGTATTTCAATGACGAATTGATATAACATCTCAAAATTTGATTTCTCTGTTTATCTAACCTAATTCTCGTCCAGCATGGCAGTTTCTAAGATATCGTTACCAGCAGATTTTGGTATAGAGAACCTGGACTGTCCTGTACACGGGAACATAGAGATAAAGCTACAAGAGGACCAGAAGATGAGAGCTAACTCTATGATCCTATCCCTCCATAGTCCGGTGTTTCAGAACATGTTCTTTAAACTGGGCAGAACTTCTGTTGACTTCAAAATTTTCACCGCTGATGTTGTTGGACGATTTTAGGGCTGATGTTGTTGGACAGTTTCTAGCGGGTTTGTACGATGGTAAAGTAGAGGTTTACAGGGATAACTTTAGAGAGATGTACAAGATGGCTGCAGTTTTTAAGATTGAGTGGTTGGGATTGAGATGTGAGCATGTTTTCTGTAAGATAATCAATGATCTTCTTGTGGAGTATAACATGAGATATACTATTGGTGGTGATCCTCTTGCTGATACATTGGGAAGAATGTTGTGGATTTTTGAGGAGGCAATATTTTCTTTGACAGCTTCTAAAAGTTCAGAATTGCTGAATATAACTGCTGATCTTTTCATTAAAAAGATAAGCTCACAAGGCATTACCCAATTTGTTCAATTCTACTTATCTGACTTTGCCAATCTCTCTGAGGAGAAGCTGGACATTGCGATAAAGATAACAGGAGAGAATGTAGTCGTCCTGTTGCAAACTGTGAGGGATAATATTTGTAATATTACTGAAACAGGATTGAGCAATAGTTGCAGGTTCTTGTTAAGGAACATCGACTTGGTGAAGTGTAGACAACAAGAACCTGAGTTATACGAGGAGATATTTGATATCTTGTTGGAAAACATGGACAAACTTTCTTCTTTGGATGCTAAAATGGTCGCTCAGCTGAACAGACAGACTCTGAAATCTCTCCTGAAATTTTCAAATCAGCAAATAATCGATGATCCAGACCCTGGTTCGGACATATCATACGAAAATATTATCAACCTTTTCCATGGTAAAGTTGTCCTTGAAATTCGTGGAAGATGTGATAAATTAACGGAGTCAATAAAAATTCGCTCAAAGGTTGCAAGAAAAGTACAAGGCATTCATGCCTGGATCGATGTTATATCGCAAATGAAAGAGGTCAAGAATATGTACATGGTTTTTGAAGCTCTTTTTTATCTTACAAGTTTCATTTATAAAGAATTTGATGACCAGGCATTAGAAAAGATGGTCGTGTTAAAAGATCGAAGGGGCTTTTCACGAGTGAATCCACAGTTTTTAATTGATCGCTGTCGTGAGTTACCAAGACTATTGAATTTATTATTAGCATGTCCGGAACTGGTTTCATGTTATGAATCGAGAAGGACCGTCTCAAAAAAGTGGGTTCCTCTTAATGATTTCCTTTTCAAAGAAACTGTTCTTCATTTTCGTTTTCCGCATCACCAACGAGAAACTGAGAATTGTTTTCTACCACATTGCTGTTTCATACTAAAAATAGCACCCGGAACTATCGAGAATCCGGAGAATTTTAATATACAGCTTCTAAAGGACACTTCCCAATCAAATTATTCGTGCTTACGGCACTCAGAACTTATTTCGGCAAACAAAATTCATCTTGTTGCAGAGAGACATAAACAATATGTAAATAATCCCTCAGGTTTTTATTCAGTGTATCTTTCGTATTTTGGAAGACCTACAAGCTACGGAAAAACTTTGGAGTGGGGTAATATACGAAGTTCATTATCAGGAGATACCTGTGACAGTTTTATCAAACTGGTTGCATATGTTGATCTGTGATCAATTCATAATTCAGAGCATATGACATTTTTGTGCTGGATTGAAATGTTTATGTATCTATTATTTATATAATATTTATATTTATACATACTTCATAATCAAAATATTCTGTTTTGTAGTGCCCCTTTGCCGACGCCCTGAAAATTAGTTAAAATTCAGTCAGTATATTTTTCACGGTTGCCTCCTTCATTGGATTATTGTTTTAAAATTGAATTTACCAATAGTTCATCAGCAACAAATTTAGAGTTTTTATTTTCAGACAAATCATGTTGAATGTCACTTTTACTTAACCGTGTCTTATATTGAGGTTGTTTTGTTATTTATGTTGTTGACGTAAGATTTTTCAGTCGGAGCGAGTTAGGTTTTCCTGATATCATTAATCACTCTCTCCAAAACAACTAAGATTTACAATGGCCAACTGTTTTAACTTTTTAACCGTTGCTCGAACTGTGAGCGGGTAATCTAACATGTAAATATCCCCAGCATGGCAGTGTCTAAGATATCGTTACCAGCAGATTTTGGTATAGAGAACCTGGACTGTCCGGTCCACGGGAACATAGAGATAAAGCTACAAGAGGATCAGAAGATGAGAGCTAACTCCATGATCCTATCCCTCCATAGTCCGGTGTTTCAGAACATGTTCTTTAACCTGGGCAGAACTTCTATAGACTTGGACGATTTTAGGGCTGATGTTGTTGGACAGTTTCTAGCGGGTTTGTACGATGGTAAAGTAGAGGTTTACAGGGAAAACTTTAGAGAGATGTACAAGATGGCTGCAGTTTTTAAGATTGAGTGGTTGATATTGAGATGTGAGCATGTTTTCTGTAAGATAATAAATGATCTTCTTGTGGAGTATAACATGAGGTATACTATTGGTGGTGATCCTCTGGCTGATACATTGGGAAGAATGTTGTGGATTTTTGAGGAGGCAATATTTTCTTTGACAGCTTCTAAAAGTTCAGAATTGCTGAATATAACTGCTGATCTTTTCATTAAAAAGATAAGCTCACAAGGCATTACCCAATTTGTTCAATTCTACTTGTCTGACTTTACCAATCTCTCTGAGGAAAAGCTGGACATTGCGATAAAGATAACAGGAGAGAATGTAGTCGTCATGTTGCAAACTGTGAGAAATAATATTTGTAATATTACTGAAACAGGGTTGAGCAATAGTTGCAGGTTCTTGTTAAAGACCATGGACTTGGTGAAGTGTAGACAACAAGAACCTGAGTTATATGAGGAGATATTTGATATCTTGTTGGAAAACATGGACAAAATTTCTTCTTTGGATGCTAAAATGGTCGCTCAGCTGAACAGACAGACTCTGAAATCTCTCCTGAAATTATCAAATCAGCAAATAATCGATGATCCAGACCCTGGTTCAGACATATCATACGAAAATATTATCAACCTTTTCCATGGTAAATATTCCATTCAAATTCATGTAAGATGTGTGAAATTAACGGAGTCAATAAAAATTCACTCAAAGGTTGCAAGAAAAGTACAAGGCATTCATGCCTGGATCGATGTTATATCGCAAATGAAAGAGGTCAAGAATATGTACATGGTTTTTGAATCTCTATTTTATCTTAGCAATTTCATTTTAAAAGAATTTGATGACCAGACGTTAGAAAAATTGGTCTTGTTAAAAGATCGCAGGGGCTTTTCTCGAGTAAATCCACAGTTTTTAAATGATCAATTTAGCTGTCATAAGTTACCAAGACTATTGAATTTATTATTAGCATGTCCGGAACTGGTTTCATGTTATGAATCGAGACGAACCGTCTCAAAACAGTGGGTTCCTCTTGATGATTTCCTTTCCAAAGAAACTGTTCTTCATTTTCATTTTCCGCATCACCAACGAGAAACTGAGAATTGTTCTCTACCATCAGACTGCTGTTTCAAATTAAAAATAGCACCCGGAACTATCGAGAATCCGAAGAATTTTAATATACAGCTCATGAAGGACACTTCTCAATCAAATCATTCTGAACTTATTTCGGGAAACAAAATTCATCTTGTTGCAGAGAGATATAAACGGTGTGGAAATGATCCCTCAGGTTTTTATCCACTAACTGTGCATCTTTCGTATTTTGGAAGACCCTCTCTTACAAACTACGGAAAAACTTTGGCGTGGGGTGTTATAAGAAGTTCATTATCAGGAGATACCTGCGATAGTTTTGTCAGACTGGTTGCGTATGTTGATATGTGATCAATTTCTATTTTCAGACCAATCATGTTGAATGTCACTTTTACTTATAATCTATTGAGTTTTGTTTTGTTATTTATGTTGTTGACGTAAGATTTTTAAGTCGGAGTTAGGTTTTCCTGATATCATTAATCATTCTCTCCAAAACATCAAAGATGTTCAATGTTAAGCCAACTTTTAAAACTTTTTAACCGTTACTCGAACTGTGAACGGGTAATCTAAAATATAAATATCCCCAGCATGGCAGTGTCTAAGATATCGTTACCAGCAGATTTTGGTATAGAGAACCTGGACTGTCCTGTACACGGGAACATGGAGATAAAGTTACAAGAGGACCAGAAGATGAGAGCTAACTCCATGATCCTATCCCTCCATAGTCCGGTGTTCCAGAACATGTTCTTCAAACTGGGCAGAACTTCTGTAGACTTGGACGATTTTAGGGCTGATGTTGTTGGACAGTTTCTAGCGGGTTTGTACGATGGTAAAGTAGATGTTTACAGGGACAACTTTAGAGAGATGTACAAGATGGCTACAGTTTTTAAGATTGAGTGGTTGATATTGAGATGTGAGCATGTTTTCTGTAAGATAATCAATGATCTTCTTGTGGAATACAACATGAGGTATACTAATGGTGGTGATCCTCTGGCTGATACCCTGGGAAGAATGTCGTGGATTTTTGAGGAGGCAATATTTTCTTTGACAGCTTCTAAAAGTTCAGAATTGCTGAATATAACTGCTGATCTTTTCATTAAAAAGATAAGCTCACAAGGCATTACCCAATTTGTTCAATTCTACTTATCTGACTTTACCAATCTCTCTGAGGAGAAGCTGGAAATTG